ATTTGTAGGTCTTCCCTTATTTTTTGTATTTAAGATGCTTTTGATAAAAATTTATAATTAATTTTCCAGTGTGTATGCTACAAATCCTTCTGGCAAAATGACCTACTCAGAGAGCCTTTTAGTGTACCTCTGCCAGACAGGGCACTTTGCAGTATGTAATCCTAACCCATTCCTCTTTCTCCTCTCTTCCTCTATTTAGCTCTAGGTCTTTGATATTAATTGCAAACAGCACTGTCAATTTTGGGAGTGTTTAATTTACTATGTCTTTATATTCTGCATATATTTTACAGAATAGGTAATGCTTATTTTCAGTATCAAACTTTCAAACTTTAGCAGTTTTCTATACTTAACTCAGAAATCATGAACTTTTCAGGTACCATTAAAGTAACACTGAATTTCTTAACCCACTGTGAGAAGGAAAAGCTGAAACGTGGTATTAATGTAGCTACGGGTCAAAAGACAGAAAAAAACTACACAAAAATATCCAAAGTGTGTTATTATTTGAAATACCACATTCAAAGGTTGCCTTGGGACCTAGCTGTTCTTGCAATAGTGCTATTTCAACAAAACCAGTTAACTTGTTAACATTACAAGAGGAATTCTTTCCTCCCGGGGAGACCAGATGGGCGCTGTGCCTGCCTGTGGGGTGAGGGGGTGCCAGGCAGGATCCACTGCTGTGGGTGCCCCTGGGCCCGCGGGTGCTGACCCACCAGAACACCGGGTGCTTTCTGTGGAGCCCTCGGGCACCAGCCCGTCTCAGTCAGGGTTACTTCCCTGCCGTTTCTCCTCCAGCTGTGACCCACCACTTCCTGCAGCAGCACGTTCCCACGGGGGCAGGCTGCCCTGACCCCTCCCAGGAACCGCTGTGAGCGAGACAGCGCTGACTGACTGAAAACTAACCCCATTTGTATAAGACTTGTCACAAGTACATGACAACTTTCACTCCTTACTAATGCAGATGAGTAACTCGTAGAATGCTCCATGCTCCCATATTCATGTCTTACAGCCAGCTGGGGTCTTTTTCATTCTGACCCCATGGAGCACTCCAGAACAGAATAAATACACTTCCTTCCATACATTGAGCATTGCTCCAGAAGTTTACCTGTCTATAACATCTGGTTTTGTTTAATTTGTAAAATATATTTTATCAATATCAATTCTTTAATGACCAAAAATTTCTACCATAGCATTTACACACTCGCTTTAATAGTTCCAGTTGAACAGGCTCTTTGGTCAGTTACTTCCTTGCATCTTTCAGGGCCTTGCACCTTGAATAAATACCAAGCCATGGGTTTGGCTGAACAATGAAAACCAAACGATATCACAAATACTATGAGCTGTTGAATTCCAATGACAATATGTAATCACATTGTTTTTGTGATAGATGTCTCAAAGTTAAAAAAAAAAGATACACATCTGGGCTGTTATTACTAAACTAGTCTGTGGTAGGGTCTTGTGAGCAGTTGATAATTAACTGGACTCTTGGGACTGGTCCAGCTCAGCGAAGATATTACTTACCATGCTCACGGTCACTGCCAGGCTGGTTAGGAGGCCAGACAGAACCAGCAAGACCTGTAACGGTGCTGTCAGACTGTGGTGAGAGGATCAAACAGCATCGGGCATGAGTCACCGGTCAGTAAACACAAAACCCTGTCAGCTCTTTGTGAGAGATGCTTTGAAGTGCCTCTCGTCTTAAAGAGGAAGTTACTAAGTGTTTAAACCTGATGTGTGGGAAAAAAAAAGATATTTCATGATCTGTCAACAGGAAAATCAACGGAAAATCAACAGTTAGATGGTATGTGAGAGCTAAACTCAGCCAAGCAGTTACAGAATTTATCACAACAGAACGTATCCGCAGCGCAGGGAGCGAGCTGTGGGAGGAGCAGGGGCAGCAGCTGTGTGGACAGGCTCCTGCATCCGACTTGGGCTTTGGCCCTTTCCTCTCCCAGCCTTCTTGCATAACTTTGGAAAACTTAAGTTTCATTTGCAAAATGGAAGTAGAATTTCCTTTGTTACCTCGTCTAGGGAAAGTGTAAGATTTCAAGCATGGACTGCCTCTGGCTACACATTAAGCAGGAGACAATCATTATTTTAAAAATAAAGTACTTCCCACTCTTAGTTCCTGGGCAAAGAGTAGTCAGCCACTGTTGACAGAATGAACTGACAGTATGAAGTTGTGAAGCTAGATCCGAGTAACATAGTTTGGTACTAAAAATCAGATGCCACGGTGCCTGATTTAGAGACAGCTCCCTGGTGTGAAACCTGCAATCCCTGCTTGGCCCCTGTTCTGTGAACAAGGCATATGCCACCTCAGGAGGGGCTCAAGGAGCTGGCATGCTGTGTGAGGACAGCATCTGTGCTTCAGTGAAACACCAAAGCTGAAGAATGGAAGCAGGGCTTGTACAATTCCTGCCTGAGGACTCACATACCTCAAGGAGTCAGGGAAACGCCACCTTCTACTTGGGATTCTGTGGGTAAATGCACAGTCTTCCTAAGAATTAAGTTTCACTTTTAAAATGCAAATCAACAAGGGAAAGGTGGTGGGGAGACTGTGTAGACATGTGGCTGCAGATGACAGCACACAGGTGAAGAACAGTCTCTACAGCTGTTTCTGCATTTTAATGCAATTTAAACTGAACAGTGCTGAGGAGCAATCCAGCACTCCCTGCTTTGGGTGCCCCCTCAGCAGTCAGGCTGTCCAGGGACTGAGGGATCTTTGGTTCATTTCTACACAGTAACAAACCACCCTCAAGTCAATCTTTGAGAGCATGGACAGAAAATGTCCCCTAGAAAATGGGCTGAACCACAACAAATAAACAGAAAGTGTGCACAACTAACTGTTGCCCATCAAGAGCTGCTCTTCAGCTAAGGACTAAAGTTGCCTCGGAATTCAATGGATCTAACTACAGGTTAACCAAAGATGGATACTCCTACGAGCAATGAGGTCATAAGGTAGTTTTCCTATGTCTGTTTTTGCTAGTCTGGGGTGCATCAGTATGCTTTTGTGTCTGCTGACCTGCAGGAGCCCCAGGAGCCTGATCCGCTAGCAGCAGTGAGCGTTGTACGAGGGGAGTATCGCTGGCTGGCTGTATGCGGGCAGAAGTCACAGACTAATGGAATAAGCTTAAATTATTCTAATAACCAAGCAAGAGATCACAGGCCCCGCATAAATCAGAAATACAGAGAATGTTTGTGGTATGTACAGACCTGTTAACCTAAGACCCAACACCTACTCCACTAACAGACAGCCCAGGGACTCAGCCAGCCCGTGTTGTGCAGCGGGCTGCGTGGCGTGGCAGCCTCCTCACCGAGGGGCTTACACCTGCTCCCGCAGCCCACGCAGGCTTGCTCTGCTCTGAAAGGCAAAAGGGGGCAAAAGCTGGCAGTGTCACAGCTATGCTCCCGGGCAGGTGCTGCCCAAAGCTGTGATCACAGTTTAGCATCAGCCACAACGCCGTTCTGCAGCAGCAGGGGCCTGAACCATCCATCAGCTTGACCCAGGGTATCTGCAGCGGATCCGCCAGCACAACCTGCAGTACTGCAGGCGTACGAGCACACAGCGACAGCACTGTGAAGTTACTCAGCAGGACTAGGGTTGGATTAGCACGGTTTTACATTTTTATGACAAAGACTGATTCACACACTTCCACTATGTAAGAAAAACAAGTCTACAAAAAGGGGAAACACCCCCTACTTAGAGAACACACCCCAGAACACCCTCAGCTTCACAGCTGTGTTTCTTGGAATGTGTAACTGGAACCAAATGTATGCCACAGAACTAGCCTGCTGCCATCTCCTGTCATCCTGCTTTAACTCTGAACAGCTCTACAGCTGGTGCTGGGCAGACAATTCATGTGCCTGCTAAAACCTCTGCTGCTCTGAATTAGGTGTGTACCTCCACACCAGTATGCACTCTAGCTGAGGTGTGGGGGAGCTCGATGGGGTAAAGCAGTGTGTGTTTTCCCCATGTTCCTAGCCTGTCACAAAGCCTGGGTCTGTCTGTGAGCCACACCCTGCCCAGGCTCACAGCAGCTGAGAGTCTGCCATCAGTCCCTCAGGAGATACCAGCAGCTTGAGGGGTCCACGCTCCCCAAAAAGGCCTCTTGCCATGACCTCAACTACTGCACTGCGATGGGAAAAGGACTCAGAGCATCTACCTTCTGGGAATGCTGCTTGATATGCCTGGACAGGCAGGTAGGGAAGGAGCAGAAAGGTCTCTCAAAACTAGGGCCCAATCTATATGGCTGACAAGGACAGATCACCTTGAGATCAACTAGGCAAGAATCCAGTCATGAAGGACAAATAAGGCATTCAAGGTATGATCTGCATAAAAACCTGTCAGCCTCAGAGTGGACACGATGTGAGTTTACAAATGCAAAGGCAAGAGGCAGAAAAACCCCCAAGTATTTACACATGTCACCTTTCCACTGACATAACGTTTCAGGTCAGGTCCTCGGGCAGCGGAAACCCTCGCGGACACCAACACCCCCACGCTTTGTGATCATGGGCAAATCCAGGCCAAGGGTGAGACAGTGAAATTCCACTGGAAACAAATGATTCAAGCAAAACTGCTGTTGGTCTGTCACTCATAATCGTGAGTCTGGATTAAATTAATCCTCAGTGTAATTTAGTTTCTAATACAAAGAAAATTGATCTGTTTGTGTATTCTCCAAAGAGATGGCCTGATCTTAGGTCCCCATGCTGTATTCTGAGATGGTCCAAATAAAACTTCTCTGAGCTTCACCCACGTGAGGCCTCTGGAGTCACCGCTCTGCAACTCACCAACGAAGAACAGAACTGGACCATAGGAACTCGGCGTGCTTCCATGTGCTGCTTAGTCTTAGATCTCACTTACCATCACAGCGAGTTTTCCGTGACTTAACTGAGAGCATGTTTCAGAACCCAAACCACAGATATTATCTCTTGGTATGTTCCGTGGTGACCATCCCTGCTCAAACTCAGTGACTGGCTATTTAAAGAGTTGGGAGTGAGTAATCACGTTATTCCAAAATTCCATTCCTCAGCATTTCACTTCTCTCCAGAGAGAGCCGCCGAAGGTCCTTCCTAACGTCAGGGAGATCTTCCAGCTCTTCGTACAGCGACCGCACGATGTCCAGCTTCCTGTAGTCCACTGGTCTGACCAGACTGCGGACAACCTGGAGACATCTCTCCTTCAGGGTGAACACTGAGGTTAGAAACAAACACACAGAGACACAACCTGGTCACAAGGGCTCTCCTTAGCTGCTGCCCCAGCGCAGACAGCGCTGCTCCCAGACCACGCGTGCAGCAGCATTGAACAGGACTTCCCTGCGCTCGCTAGAGAGAGAGGAAGAGAAGTGGCTGCTCCCTGCAAACCCTGCCAGAGACGCCTGTTCGGGAGAGGTGCTTGCTCAGCACAGCGC